TCCGTTTGTCTTATACGTGTTACAAAAATATTACATTATAAGAAAAATTCTTTCTTTATTCAATTTTGCCATATTCAGGTACACAAAGATTTTCGATTATGGCTAACAAGTATGCCAAGTCCTAAATTTCCAGTAATGATCTTACAAAATGGAAGTAAAATGACAGTTGAACCACCTCGTGGTATCAAAGCTAATCTATTACGATCTTATATAACACTCAATGACGATTTTCTTACATCATGCACAGGAAAAGTATAACAAATTTCCTTCTTATATTTTTTTTATCATATAAAAAGAAAACTTTCTCTCTCTTTTTTAAATAATCTAGATTGATGAATTTAAACATCTTCTTTTGTCACTTTGTCTATTTCATGCTGTTTTACTTGAACGTCGAAAATTCGGTAAGATATAAAAATAATTTTTCTCAGTAAATAAAAATATTACAAAAAAATATTCATTTTTAGGTCCACTGGGTTTTAATATTCCATATGAATTTACTGATGGTGATTTACGTATTTGTATGAGTCAGTTACGTATGTTTTTAATGGAATATACCGAAATTGCTTATAAAGTAAGAAAAAAAACATTTAATCAAAATAACAAAAAGAAAAAATATTTTTTTTTTATTAACTAGGTATTAAAATATACTGCCGGAGAAATAAATTACGGTAAAAAACAAAACATTGAAAATAATTAAATAAATTTAAAAAAATTTTCATTTATAACAGGTGGTCGTGTAACAGATGATTGGGATCGTCGATGTGTAATGAATATACTTGATGATTTTTATGCATCAAAAGTTCTTGATCCAAATTATTGTTATGATGAGTCACAAGTTTATCATCAATTGCCACCAGTATCTGAACATCAAGCGTATCTTGCATATGTTCGTAGTTTACCAATTAATGATACACCAGAAATATTTGGTTTACATGAGAATGCCAATAGTAAATTTAGAAAGATTTTATTTATATGAAAAAAAGCTTTTTTTTTCTTTTGAAATTTTTCTCTTTTAGTTACATTTGCACAAAATGAAACATATCGTACATTAAATGATTTACTTGATTTACAACCTAAAACAGCATCAGCTGGTGAAAATCGAGATGTTACTATTGAAAAATTAGCAAAAGATGTTCTTTCACGTGTACCAAAACCTATACCATTAGCAACTGTTATGGAAAAATATCCTGTTTTATATGAACAGGTAAATTAAATAATTCGATATAGTAAAAAAAGACTGACAAATAGATATATAAAAGATAAAAATGTAACGATAGATTATCTCTTAATTATATACAAATTGTAACAGAATATCATTTATAATGAGTTGTCGAAAAGTAATTTGATAAAGATGTTCGTTCGTTTATGTAGCCTCTTAAAGAAGCCTGTAGAGATTTGAAAATATTGAGTTAGAATCAAAATTTTGTGTTCTTTTTTAAAGATGGCTTGAAAGATTTTGTAGAACTTTTGGTTTAGAAGAATTATCAAACGATCCTTTTGAGATGAGTAAAAGTAATTTTGGACGAACTTCAATGCGCTAAAACTAACTTAAAATAGAAGCGAAAATTATTTCAAATACAGCAAATGAAAAGACAAACATTTCTATATAACATGATATGTAAATCATTAGTTTGCTCTAAGTCATTTCTCAAAAATAAATATTTTCGTAAAAAGCACTGTATTAATTTAGGCAATTATCTCAGTTTCTATAAAAAACATACTTGCAAAGTGAACCCAGACATTCCTGAATGATTGTTCCAAAACTCTTGATTCTTTTATTATTTTGTAGAGAACAATCTCTCTTTTAATTCTATGCAAAAAAAAAATCAATTTTCACCGTCGAAACTTAACTTTCGCATCTGTAAAAGGCTCATTCATAACTCCTAAATCAGAAGTCTTAGGAAAATGTTGAATCAGAATGTTCCAAGCGAGAATGAACATCCAATCTTCAATAATTTTCGTCTTATCCAGTGTTTTATTGTTTTTCTTTGCTCAACATTTCTAAAAAAAACGTTGAAACCTCCTTTTCCAAATGTCAGTAAACTTTATTGAAAATCTTCCGATCTCGACTTCGAACACGCCTCTGTTGAACCGATATTCTGAAACAATACAAAATTTTAATTCAAACTCAATGTATTCAAATTTCTATCGATGCTAAAAAAACAACAAACATTTTATCAAATTAATTTTCAATAAACTTTGTTATTATGTATAAAATATTTGTTAAGAAAATTTCATTTTTATATTTTTAGTCAATGAATACTGTCTTAACACAAGAAATTATTCGGTATATATTTTAATTATTTTTAATTTGTTCTTTTCTATCTATTAATTATTCTTATTTAATTGTCATATCTAGATATAATAAATTATTAAATATGATTCATACATCATTACAAGAATTACTTAAAGCAATGAAAGGTTTAGTTGTACTTTCTCAAGCATTAGAAGAAATGTCAAAAAGTTTATTCAATAATGCTGTGCCAGTCATGTGGAGTAAAGTTGTATGTATCTAAATAAATAGATTTATTTTCCTTTTAAATAAAACACAAAATATTGTTTTATTTTGGAAGGCTTATCCAAGTTTAAAACCACTTGCATCATGGGTTATTGATTTAATTCAACGTGTTGAATTTGTACAAGCATGGGTTGATAATGGTATTCCAACTGTGTTTTGGATAAGTGGTTTCTTTTTTCCACAAGCATTTCTTACGGGTACATTACAAAATTTTGCTCGAAAATATGTTATATCAATTGATACAGTTAGTTTTGGTTTTCAAGTATGTAGAAAATTTAAAAAACAAAAAGAGTTCTTTTTTTTTAAATATTTATTTTTCAAGGTAATGAAACAATCAGCTAAAGATTTAATGCAAATACCAACAGATGGTTGTTATATACGAGGTTTATTTGTTGAAGGTGCACGTTGGGATCATGCATTACATGTACTTGGAGAATCGCGACAGAAAGAATTATTTACTGATATGCCTATTATATGGTTACAACCAGAACAAAATCGACAAACACCAACATCAGGTATTTATATGTGTCCTGTATATAAAACTTTAACACGTGCTGGTACATTATCAACAACTGGACATTCAACAAATTTTGTTTTTACTATTGAAATTCCATCATCAAAATCACAAAAATATTGGATAAAACGTGGTGTTGCACTTATATGTGCTCTTAATTACTGAATAAAAATAACATTCCAAATTATATTTTGTCTTTTTGTCTTTGTTTCTTGTATAGGATAAAATAAAACTGATGAGTTTTCCTTTTTTTAATTTCAAATAAAGTTTAATATTCTTAATGAAATAAGATATTTACTTTTTTAATTATTCATTGCTCATTGTCATTTGATGATGATGTTATTAACATAGATAATTTAGTATTCTGTTCTTTTATTTCATTTGTTTTTCTTTTATGTTTTGTTGTTTATTCTATGTAGAAAGATTTTGTTCGCTGTTTTCTATATTCTTTCTGATTGGGATAGAATGTCGAGTTTTTTAAATGATATATGACACAAAATTTATTTTGCAATGTTTCTATGACGCATATGAAAATTAGAAAAATGATCAAAATTTAAACATTAGTATAAGATCAGCATAAATAATACCAGCATCCATATTTTTCTATGTATTTTTATCATGTTTGTAGATAGAAAACTGCACTTAGCCTTAGAAAACTAGCTGTTCGATTTTTTCGTGCATCGTTCTTATGAAAGTTTTCGATAATCAATACTTGGAATTTATACTTTTAAAGATTTGAGAAATTTGATGAAATATGACCAGAATAGAACATTTTAACGTAAGTTTTCAATTAGTTTGTAAGTCAATAGAAAAGAAAATATGACATTCACGATAAAAGTTGAAGTCTGTACTCACGAAAAGATTCCCCCAACTGATCAATTGCCTTTGATTCGAGATTGCGAGCGTTATATAGAAACAAATGAGCTATAGATACTCTGAAAACAATTCAGAACCTCATGTTATTATTGCCAAGATATTTCATTTTTACAATAGTTTTGAAACGAATGTCGTAGTCTCTCTCAGAAACATCCCGAAAACTGATTTTTGAATTTCAACTTGAAACTTTGCACATAGTCAGACCTTAATGAATATTGTTTATCGTGAAATTTTCAGATCTTTTGATTTGCTTCTGTCTTGAAATAAGAACATCAAATCGATCGTTGTATATGAGCGATGTAAATAGCATACTTTTATTGTAATTATATCTTAAGATAGAAACAACGACAAGACCTAAAACAATCACAAGGAACTATTCTTTTTACAGAGTGTTTCTATGCAAAGTTTCAAGTTGATATTTGAAAATCAGTTTTTTCGATGCTCCTGAGGTCGACCATGACTTTCATTTAAAAGCTATCGTACAAGCTTAATATCTCGACAGAAACAAGCTAATGGTCTGAACTATTGTCAAGTTATATTCATAATTCATTTGGTTCTACATAATGTACATAGTCTTAACTTAGAAATGGTTTATCAGTTGGAAGACATTTATCCTCGGTAAAAATAAATATTTCCACTTCAATCAGAGAAGTCTGCTCCTGTACCATAAGTTTCGTGCGATATGTTCATCAGTACACATTATGATAAAAAGCTTTACTTATTACTTTAATAAAGTTTCGATACCATATCTATCTCGACTAAAATAAAATAGCAAAGTCACGAGAATCGCTTGAGAAATGTTCTCTTGAAATCAGTATATATCGAAGAAGTTCAATATTCATTGATTCGTTCAGCAATTTTGTAGACTTCATCTAATGTTTTCGTATGGTTTTAGAAAGAATTAAGCAACATGTTCGTTTGAAACCAAGTGTTGTTTTGTACCTATAAAAGTGGACAAGATAAAAAGTAAATACGACAAGAAACATTATTTATAGCACACTCGTTATATTAGTAATGAGTTTACAGTTGTTCGATTTTCAGGTAACTTATAAAATAATTTTGGATGTACTATCATTATATTTATTACCTGGATTATTCGAAGGTTTTTGATAATGTTCTTTTTTTTTGTTGATATAATTCAGTTTCATGTTGTTGTTCAATATCTTCAATATGTTTATCAATTATTTTTATATCGATATCATCTTCTGATTCGATATTTGTTGTTGATGGTTTTTCTGTTGTTGGTTTAGTTATAACTTCTATACACTATTTTTATGGCATAATAAAAATAATTTAATTAAACAAAATTATGTATATGTTGTTCTTCAAAATTGAAATTTCTCTTTTCATGAACAGAAAAAGGTAAAGAAAGACAAGCAATTCAAATAGCAACAAATATATTTTTCATTTATAAAAATTTATTAACAAACATAAAATGAGAGTGTGAGTGGAATAGAGACCTCATCTTCATCCACATTTACATACAAAATTAGACATAACTCAGACCTTGATCTTCAAAACTAGGAATACAATAAATCCAAAGTCTTAGAATTTAAGAGTAGATTTGGATTTGGTTTCGATTTGAACTCGAATGACCCGTATTTCAAAGAATTTAGTAAGATAAGGTGACATTAACAACAATCTACTTTAATAGAGGTGCGGCATAACCAGAAAAAGATTTCAGGACTTAAGGCAAAACTCTCAGTATTTGAATTTGGTCTTGGACAAAAATAACATAAATAATTTATTTTTCAATAACACTCACTAAATTGAAAATAATTTATGTAACTTCAATTCAAAAGCAAATTCACGTTCCAGATAAAAATCCAAAGGCATCTAGTCTGAAATCTATTCTAAATTATTTGCATCCCTACTCCAGATCCACCCACATCATTTACTATCAAGATTTTATCTATTACTGTTCATCAAAAAAAAATTTTTCAATTTTGATTGAATTTTGACTTTGATCATAGCATATATATGTATAGATAATTACTTCTGGGCCAGTATTTGACCTTTTAAAAACATAATTTGATACGAGATCTATTACAAGATGTTCTTCATGATTTTCTAATAGTTTTAGTGCTTCGTTCATATCTATACGATCAAAATCAATCCAATCAAGTACTTGTTCAGTACTATTGAATATAGCTGGCATATATGGAGCGATTCTATGAGATAAATTGGTGGGTGTCTTGACTGTCTACTAGAATAAAAATCATTTTCAAATATCTCTAAAGATCTACATACAATAATACTAAATGAATAAAGTACTTGTCCATCAGATTGTTGAAATGTATCAAAAAGAGCAGCAATATAACATGGTTGAATATTTTCACATTTTCTTCGTTTATCAAATATATTTTTTAAATGTATAAAATAAGCTTGTTTACGTAGTTTATTATCAAATACAAATTGATAAAAACCTTCACAAACTAATATGCACCGATTGCCTTTTTCTAATAATGTCTATAATAATCAATATCGAATTCTTTTTATTTGAAAGTAAGACACAAATTTTCTATGAAAAAATAACCTGAAAAATTTTTATTTTATTTAATTTTTCTTTTTTAATATTTGCTATACGATATTTTAATTTTGTTTTATCTTCTATTTCCTTTGATGGTAATAGACCCCATTGCATTATAGTAAGTACAGTTGAATTTGATGGTATACCGTCATAAATATGTTTCTCAGAAAGCAATACAGGACATGGACTATTTCGTAATGCATTATATGTTTGAATAGGTTTTAATTTCGTACCTAATTCTACATAATTAGGACCAATCATAGTACCATCATCTCTTAGTTGTATTAATGCTTGTAATTCTTTTAATGAAAATGCCATGCAAAGACGATCGCACATTTTTATTTGAGATTATTAGGACATATAAGAAAACGAAAACAAAATAAAGATAATTAAATAGACGAAAAGAAGAAAAGAAAAAAAGCTAGAAGATAATGAAATAGAAGAATAGAAGGAAAGAAAAAAAAGGGTATAATTCGAAAAAAATGAATATACTAAGTTTCTTAATTGTATGAAGAATGCTTGAATTGTTGTTAATTTTGTGGACTATGGTAATTGTAAGAAATAAAAATATTAAAGGTAATAAAAATCCATGCCTTTGTAAGAAACTTACGATAGAAATTATTATTGACGATATGGTGGTTGATTTTGATTATAAGGTGGAACAGATCCTGAAGGTTGTCCTACTTGAAATTGACTGTGTTCTCCAAGGTAAACACGAGCCATAAATTTCATATATTCATCATATGACACTGTACCATCTCGATTGCTATCCATATTTGAAATAACACGATCGACTTCAGCATCTTGAAATTGAATATTTGATTTACGAAGACATTCTTTCATTTCTGCTCCTGTTATAACACCATTACGATTAACATCAAATTCCATAAAAGCCGTCGTAATTTCTTGAACCTGATCAGGTTTTAGTCGAGCAACCATGGGATCGTTAGCCATTTTTGTTAAAAGTTTCTTTCAATCGAATATACTGATCGCACTTATACTTTGGTAACAGAGTGAATATTCACACAGTTTATATTCGATTTTAAATCACGATGACGGTGATACTATTTAATGCATCGCTTGGTAAACCAAGCGTGAATAAAAGATAAAATATCCTTGTCATTTCAAGGTAAATAAAAAAAAACGAGTGTGTACGTGTTTACTTCCAACACAATATTATTTTAGAAATTTTGCGCAGTCACACTTATCATAAATATAGCAATATATTTTATAAAGATACTCATCAAGCAATGCAAAAGTTAATTTTAGATGACTAATAGTCAATCAAATAAATATTTATCGAATACAAAATACTGAAATGTTCTACAAAAAAAAAACTTATAACTTTCAATAAGTAATAATGTTCGTCTTGTTTCCTAGAACAATTATATAAGTCTGTTTGTCTCATTGATGCGCATTTCTATGAAGTAAAAGGAATCAATCTATAGAATACTTCGTATATCATATTTATGTAATATGAATAGCTATCAACAAAATCTTTTGATTGATTGATATATATAGTTGACTACGATATTCATGAATGATTTTTTTGATACTTATTTCATTCGCTAGATATAAATCTTTTTTTTTTCAATATAATAACGACATATTGAAGGTCTCTAGATTGCATCAGATATTAATACTTTAGGTGTGTTGTTGAACTACTCTTAATAAATTTTGTGTGCATGTGTGAGTATATACTCAAGCGAAATTTTTCTTTAAATAAATTAACGTCAACGTCATTCTTCAAGTATTTTCTAATTTGACAGTTTCATTGTAACCCGAATAAGTGTCATTCACAACTGCATTGAAAATTCAAATTTCAAAGTACTTGACCTTTGTTTAGAGCCATTTATTATATTTCACATAGGAGTATTTATCACAGATATTTGTTTTATTTTTTTTTGTCATACAACTCACTGTATTTATTATTGTTTATCACTTATAATCAAATAATGCGTAAAAAGATACGAATAAATCCTTTTCTAATGATATCATTAAAAGAAAATTTGCAAGATGTCAACAAAGAATTTACCATTCTTAAGTTATATTGGCACAAAGAAAAATAGATTACATAAGTTTGATCTAAAACGATAAAGAAACACAATGATATCATGATTTATTTATCAAATATTGTATTCTTACAATCGTTTCTTTCATATTTGTTGGAATACACATAATCTATATATATATATGTCGAAAACAAATATGGCTTGTAATATGTATTTTTTTCTTGATGACATAATACTCATGTCTAAATAGATGATGATGATGTTTTTATAGTTTTAATGGATGCCAAACAATGACAGGACGTCGAAGAACACGTAACATTTGTTGCCAATGAGTAGTATGTTGTGTACGATCATGATTACCAATAAGGCAATGACCTATTTCAAATGTTCTTGTTGTTGTTGTAGATGAGGGTAATGATATGATTTCATAAACAACAATACGTATATACGAAGTAAGAAGATCATTACTTGAAACATTAAATACAGATGTTTCATTAAATACAGGATTTCTATCAGTTGCATGATGATAACTTGTACGAGTTTTTTTTATTACTTGATTATGATGAAGTAATGAGATTGTAGCATAACAATTTGTTGATATCATATCAGTGATGATAGATTCTCGTTTATAGAAGGTCAAATTCCGTGCTTGAATCAATGAACAAGTTAAACGATCAGCCGTTGGATGATAACAAAGAGAAATACTTATTTCACCACGATACCAACCAACCTATCATATTAAATAAAATAACATAAGAAGAAAAACAAACACATCAAATAATGAATTTATTTTACTTCATCACTATCATGTAAATTTAACCAAGTCGTTAATGGTTGATAAATATAAACTTCTCCAATGGTAAATGAACTTTCTCCAACTAATATTTCAGTATTATTTTCTTGTCGAACATAGAGAGTTGTATGCAAAACTGTACATGGTAAATGATCATCAATAACTTTCCATTTCATGGATGAATTGAATATTACTGGTTGACTTTTGTGATAAGTGATTAACTAATTAAAGAAAATAAAAGACTAATGTAGATTATTAAAAAAAAAAGCAATAAAAGAACCATTTATCTAACCTGACTTTGTTGACTTCGTCTTTGATCATGATCTAAACATGCAATGATAAATAGTTTTAAATCATTTTTATCTGCATTTGATATTTTCAAGTCACGAGCTTGAATAAATAAAACTTCTAAATATTCTTCTAACCTATTTAGAAAAAAAAAGAACAATATTTATTTTTGTTTCATCAATTAACCCACGCATTATAATTAAATGTTATTTGAACTTTTCCCGATCCAATATTTTCTCCCGTCATAGATAATTCATTTGATGATGTTACAATCGATTCATTATCTGAATCACATGATATTGTGCGTTTTAATGTAGACTTAATATTATTAGCATAAGAAACAATGTCATATGCACTATTACTATTAGCTACATTATTAACAAAAAGAAAATCATAGGAATGTAAAGAGAAAAGGAAAGAATTAACAAACGCATGGGTGCATCATCATATGTTGTGTCATTTGTGACGAATGAAGAAATAGAACCAACAGCAGGCGTCCATAAATTGCTGTCATTATTATTTTTAAGCGATTCATTAATTGTACTTAGATCGATAAACGATGCCATCGGTTCCTATGAAAAAAAAAGAAAAAAATTATATAATTGTCTTTTTCTACTCGTATCTCATTTCTACCTGAGTAGGTTGTTCTGTAACGGAAACTGCTGTTGAAGGTTTTCTATTTCGCGCCCGATTGAAACAACAAGCAAGTAAATGGAAATTAAGCCATTTTCCAACAATAAACAAAACAACGAAAATAGTAAGCATTGATGCAAGTAAAATTAATGTTAATTCTCGATCTGTAACTTGTGTATTCATAATATTCTATTCTTTTTTTAATTCAACTATCTATAAGAGGAAAAAAAAATTACATTTATCTATTTGATAATAAAAATAAAAATTAAACAATTGTATTCTAAAGCTTACTTAAAAAATTATTGGATGTAACAATTAAGCTAATCCTTTTCCTTTCCTTTTTGTTTTCCCTATGATAGATACTTCTCTTCCTTGCTAGTTTTAGTGTCTACCCTATGGCTAATGATAGAGATGAAACAGCCGTATGATGTGTACCTTTCCTTTTTTTTGCCTTGTTTCTCTACTAACATATCCTCTTTTGCTATTCGTTCTCTTTTTCTTTCGCGTTTTCTCTATTGATAATGATGAGGTAAACAGAACAGATCTCTGTATTCCGTAAATGAGCGCTCTTACTATAGAAAGAGAAAAAAAAAGCGCATGCATGCTAGCAAAACAGGGGGGAGAGAGAGAGAACCGTGTGTCTGACGATCTTCTACTTCACTCTCTATCTTGAATGGCAAGCCTTTCAAGCACACTTCTCTTCATTGTTTTCTCCTTTTTGTTTTTTATTCACTCATCGAGTCATCATCTCAAGGCGGTGATCGATGCACATTCAACGATGAGAATGCTCGTCTTTTCAAGAAATAAATCAATAGATGAATAGAAAAGAGAAAAAAAACACAAATTAATTGCATGATGTATCTTTAAAGAAAAATTTTCTACGAGTAATTTATCTCCTTGCTATTGTGATTAAATTCCATGATTAGTTTTTTTTTTCGTCACCATGGGAGAAAACATCATGTTTTTTAATCAAGAAAAACAAAATGTTTGGTTTTTTTTTCTTATGTATTTTTGTAAAATACTCGTAAGATCATTATAAATCTTTTCATGAACTAAAATTTTCATTTAATTTTTTAATATATAATAGTCTTTATTGACTTAGTCTATTGATCTTATGAATGAAGATTAAATCAATCAAAATAAATTATAGTAACATTTAGAAAGTGATCATAAAATACCTTTTTTTTTCGACGTTTTTTATTATTTGAATACAGTAATAATAAAATACTAGTAGTAAATAATTCACAGGTTGTTTTCTTCATTTACAGTGAACGAGTCTATATATGACAGAAAAATAATAAAGAAAAAGTAATATTTGTCAATTCTCATTATCAAGATTCGAAATGTCGTCAAAAGATTTTTTCATCCATTTTGATTAAAAAATTAATTCAGCTCGTTGAACAAATGTTCAAAAACATTGATTTATAAGATCTTGCCCATTAGAGTTGTATTGAAATAAAAGAATCGTGCGGAAAAACTTCTCAATATGATCATCATGTTAAATACGACGGATATACTTCCGTTAAAAAAAAACCAGCAGTATCTTACGAAAGAGGGCGAGAAATAAAAATTCTTTGTTATATTTTCTATGACTTTTACAGAAACGAGAAAAATATCACATCATTCTATCCAACAGTGTAATTCGAAGCAAAGCCATGGGTGTCGAAGAGCACAACGTCATTTTAGCATATATTTTACAATGGTTAACGACCAATTTCAAACGCAGGGAGGAAGAGAGAAGTGTTACGCCTCACATAATCCTCCTAGTTTTGTCCCTGCCTTTACCCTCTGGCGTTCCTACGTATTAAACACATGCAAGGTCTTCTCTTTAAAATATGATGGATTTAGTCAATAGATTCATTTATCAATAATATGATATCAAAGTTGAATGTAGTTTTGTTTCTTCAGTGTTGAAATTCAAAAGTATTGTCTATTTTTCAATATGTATTAAGTTTTTATATGAGAAAAATGCAAATAAATAAGTATTTTCTTTATCAATATGCCATTTTGGCAATAAATCTTTGTGGTACATATTAGAGAAGGTAATAACTGGCATCTTGCTTCTGTCACGTTTCTCTTTATGTTTACCATGAAGCTTATTTTTTCCGACAACGATAAATGTCAGCAGTCTCTGTTTTTCTATATGAAAAAACCCTCCAATACAATCCAGTAATTAATTTATACTTGTATAATGCTCATTCTTGCCGTACTATTATATTTGCATTTCTTGAAATACAAATATACGTAGGGCTCCGTTGTTTTGGTTATGTCGTGACTTAGGAAAACGACTTTTTTTCGAAAACACGTTTCCTGTCCTGTATTATGTTTTCAGGCAGAATCAGATAGTCGATTTGCAGGATAGATAAACTACTTCAATCTTTCCGTATGATTAACATTGAAAGACCAGAACATTTTCATTCATTCATATTGAAACATTTTTTTAATTTATTTTCATATCATCATGCAACAAAGATCAAATAATAACACTCATAAAAAATATATCTAAAAGGTATACAACAAAAGAACAAAGTGAACAAGTACAGATTTTCTGTTGTTATTTTATTTTTCTTCTTCTCTTTTTGCTTACATTAGAAGTTATTCTTAATGAACGCTCATCTGTGTAGCAGAGTTGCCAATAGGCAAAATTGGATTGGAGGATAAAGATAGCTGAGAAAAAGAAACACGAGTGTCCGCTAGGAATGACCATTTATATCAATTAGCATTGATAGTCAAAAGGAAAAAAAAGTACAGAAAGCTGAAAATGTACATGTTATTTGATAATACTGTCTAACACATTTCTCTCTTTATTTTTCCTTCGAAAGACAAGAAAACTGTTATTTTGAAATAAAAATATGATATTAAGTTTGCAGGACATAAGCGACTGTTCCTGAGCTACCTTGTTGGTTATTTTTCTTTATCTTGACTTGATATCGAGAAAGACTCAAGCATATTTTTTGGGCCTCTGTTATATCGGGATAGCATGGTTCAATTTCATGAGCATCTCTGTCCTGTAATATTATAGAAGTGTTTATGCAGAATGTTAAAACGTTCCGAACGAAAAAGAAAAGAAACATGAACATATATTTAGCAGTTTAAACGAGTTACACGATCTTTGTATGACTTTATTGGATGCTCATTAAAATAGTGTTTCTCATGATTTTATTCATTCTCACTATACAAAATGATCTCATAGAATTGAAACAGGCAAGTCTTCTGTTGTTAAATATTCGGAGGAAAAAAACATTATATTGAGTATTCTTCGAAATTATTTTTTTTTTCTCGATTCTGATTGTCAAATGAACCTGACTGTAAAGTAAACATCTGGCAAACATTGATTTTCATGTATTCATATGGAAAAATTTTATTTACGCTAAGTCTGATTGAACGTGAAGTTCACTGAATCGAACTACTTCTTTGAATTCACAGACTAGGAAAAATATTGTATAGAGTATACTTCACTGTCAATATGTGAAGAAATCATGTCGTGTTGTAAGATTTTCTAACTTTTGCATCAAATTGATATGATTATGAGTAAACTTTTACAATAGTCCAAATACATGATTTTAAAACACTTTAATAAGCAACATTAATTTCGTTCACTCTTTTCATTTGTTATTACTATAATAAAGCTTCCATAATATGATTGATTTACTACAAATATTTTTTACAAAAGCATCGCAAAATATTTTAACTGCAAGCTTGATGTGACCATTTTTTTGAAATCTGATCGACAGCTGTTGTTGCAAGGTGCCAAAAATGTAAAATTCGAATGGAAATGATTTCAGTTTTATTTATACATCTTTCGATAAAGTTTGATGTACTGATGATCAATATGTAGATGTCGATTTTTTCTATCGTCTTCTAAGAAAGAAAATGCGATTATATTCGACGGGTATAAAAATGAACAAAAGGCGCTTATTTGTGAAAAATTCAAATTTTCTGTACAAAGGGAGAATTCCTACCACACATATTTCATCAAGAGCACTTTTTTCACTAGGGATTCGTTCACGACTGACCACATCATTTTCGAAACAGTGATCTGAGAGGGGGAGTACAGCTGAGTTTCCGGTAGGAAGAGTATTCCGATGAAATGCGTGTGGTAGAATTTCTTTCTTTGAACAGCAAATTTGAAATTTTCGCAAAGTAGCAATTTTTGTTCATTTTTACACCCTTGAAATATTTTGGAAGCAGAGCCCAAAAATGAACCGAACCAAACCAAATCGAAGCCAAACCGAGTTTTTGCAATTCGAATGGAATCGAACATAAGTAAAAGTAATCTTTCCCACTATACAATATATTTTGCTTAGGGTATATTGACCTCGTGAGGACTGCAATGAGTTTTTATTCATTGTGCTATACAGCATAATAGTTCTTAGCATAGTTGAAAATTTTATTTTCTCTTGTTATCAATAGGATTCGTTGTTTATAGTGACGGTCGATCAACTGGTTGCAAGTTAATGTATAGCGGACTATATTTGTCTTTCTTTGTCATTGCTATTCAATGCGATGAATAGCTGTCAACGAATTATCTAGGAATAAAGTTAGAAAAAAAACGTCTCAAATTAGTGCGCAAGTGTTCTTATTCTTTCAGAGCAAAAACATCACTTGATTCGCAGTAGGATCACTAGAAGTTACGGTTCTATTGCATTCGTTCAGCATAATTATAAGGTTTCTCGACTAGATACGAATTGAACTGAATCAAACCAAATTCGAACCAAATTTTTCAAACTAAAGTCGAACCCAGTCGAACCCGAAAATTTCGATGCGTTTCGGACTCTGTTTCGAATTTCCATATTGATCATCAGTATATCAAACTTTATCGAAAGATGTATAAATAGAACAAAAAATTGCTTGTATTTGAATTTTGCATTCTTGACACCTTACACAACCGTAGATAGTTCCAATTTGTTCATCGATAAAAATACATTAATTCTAACACTATTATACAGAGATATTTTAACTGAAATATACTGAATAAAATTTTAAAAATTATTAGATAAAATTAGAATGGAAAAAACATGTAATTTTTTTGACTTGTTTAAGAAATTTTCATGTTTCTTTTTCGTTTCAATTTTTGAAACATCCTGTACATAATGAATATAGGCACATTTTGATTCAATGTTGAATGAAAAATCTAATCAAAATACATTTTTCAAGATATTATTGACTTACATTTTCTGGAA